CCCTTTTTCCCCGAGGTGCACGATGAGATAAAGAAGTCGTGGAATGCGCCTCTCAGCAGTCGAGTGCACAACCCGGGATCCTCCCTCCTGTCTTCAGTGGACGGCGCTGACCAAGTGGGGTATGTTAAACTTCCCCCCGTGGAAGAAGCCGTCGCTGCCCATCTCTGTCCTTCAGCCGCGGTGAACTGGAGAGTGAGAAACGCGTCTCTCCCCTCTAAACCTTGCCGCACCATGGAAACAAACTTCGCCGACAAGGCTTTCTCAGCGGCAGGCCAAGCAGCGTCAGCACTGCACGTGGTGGCGATACTCCAGGTGTATCATTCCAAGCTGTTCAAGTCTCTGGATGAGGACGGGCCGGACCCTGAAGTGTTCAAAGAGCTCCGACGCACCACGGATCTGGCCCTCAGAGCAACGAAGGTGACAGCTCGAACGATCGGCCGCAACATGGGGAATCTTATGATGCTAGATCGTCACCTGTGGCTTACTCTGACCGAGTTAAAGGACTCGGAAAAAACGGCCCTTCTGGACGCTCCCATGAAACCCTCAGGTCTCTACGGAGCAGCGGTAGAGATATTAACGGAGCGCTTCGTTGAAGCACAGAAACAGTCGAAGGCTATTAGCCAAAGCGCAGTGGTGTGAACTCTCCTGCGCGTTCCCGCTCCTCCTCAGCGCAGCACGCGGGAAGACCGCATGCCTCTTCTGCTGCTGTTCAGCGCGAACATGAGCCGGCGGTGAGACCAAGACAGCCTTGGCCGAAGCGTCATCATGGCTCGAAGTGCCAGAGACCCCGCCCTGACAGAGACTGCAGGCCACCGGCACCGGAATCAAAGCTGCATTCCTGATGCTGTCTCTCGGAGGAAGAAATCTGCACACAGCGCCGAAGACGAGCCACTGAAAAAGTCTGCTCGCTCCGCTGTGTGTTCACCCCGCCTGCCTGCCTGTTGCGGGCGGCGAGAGCAATTGTCGTGTTTGTGTTTTGACTGTTCCACTATGCAGTGCAATAAAGTCGAAAAACATACAAAACTCACCTCAATATCAAAGCAATTCTCCTCCTCTCACTCCCCTCTCCCCCATCACTCACTCTCACACTCGTATGGTATTAAACTCCCCGCCCCCCAACGGCGAGTTATCCCTCACGGTGTGCAGTCCGCCTTGCCCGCTGTCACAGTTCACAGAAGCGTGGCAGGTACTGCCAGGGGTATCAGAGTGGGTTATGAAATCAATAAAGAACGGCTACACGCTTCAGTTCTTCCGCAGGCCGCCCCGTTTCAACGGTGTGTTAATGTCCACTGTACGGGAGCAGAATGTCTCAGTTCTGCGAGAGGAAATACACAACCTCCTCGCAAAACGCGCTGTAGAGACAGTGCCCCTAGCAGACCGCGAGAGCGGCTTCTACAGTCGCTATTTTCTGGTACCAAAGACGGCGGACTCCGCCCAATCTTGGA